CATGGCCCTCAGCATCTTCAAGAACACCGGCAAGGGGGAACTGGATCCAGTTTTCTTGCTCAGGATGAAGATGACCTCTGCGAGAACATCAAGAACCCTCGTGCTGCTCCTCATCCAGCAAACAAGTCCTCTTCATCCCCTCTGTTGCACCAGCGTAACTTCAAAGTTCTCCGAGAAAGAGACCCAGGTCGATCCGAACAAGAAGTTTTCGGTGACGATGATGATCAGATGAGCTCCACCTCCAGCTCCTTATCCTGTGCAAAAGTATCGTACTCATAATATTGCATTCATGCATTACAAATTTTTTTCTCACGGTAAATCCGCATTGCAAATTTTATTTCTCATGCTAAGGGAATTTGTCATGCTCATGCATTCATAATCATACGAGTACGATACTTTTGCAGTTCATGCTCCTCGCGTTCGGACTATTCAACGAGAAGTACTTCTAGCAGCGCGATGACCGAGCGACTTTTCCTGAGTCCGGACGATAATCCGAACGAACTAACCTTGGACAAGTTGTTTTCCAACTTTCACGGACCCGAATACAGTTTTCTGACGAGGGGGTTTATTCTCTATTCCTTTTTCCTCTGTGGCGTTGTCGCGCCGTTGGTGCACATTTTGTACGTTTTAATCGTCAGCGGGGTGCTTGTTCTTCGTTTTCAGGGACTCGACATCCTAGCGGTCGACGAGGGGAAGCATGTTGAAGCTGGACGACCGCCGCGTCTTGGTAATAGAAAAGCACACCAGCGGTCCCTCTGTTCTATGCGCCGTGGAGGTCCACGCGACAAGTCGACAAGAGCCTGTGGTTCGCTTGGTCGTTGGAAGACTGGGCAAGAGGCGCCGGTGACGAGCCAACGGACCAGCCAGACTGGATCTTCAATTTTCAGCTACGACAAAGCAGACGATGTCGAAGAGAATATATACTCAATCATGAAAATGTATGGCTTAGGCTTTATAATGAACGGCGTAGGGAATACGGTGGTCAGGTAGGCCAAGGTAGATTAGCATTTAAGAATAGCAGATCAAATGCAGAAAAGTACTCGTACGAGACCCGTATGTAGTCTTCAACTGCATGCCACTGGAAGCCTGTGTTAGTGTTTCACTTTCAATAATGTCGATAGAATAGGAGACATAGACAGTAAGCGCTGTTACATCCAAAAATCCTTGGTTGTCTCTCGCAACAAGGGAAAATTGTTGATTATTGTGGCAGCAGAGTCGGAAGACGAAGACCATCGAGGAGCGGAGAGATAGCGTAGGAGCGAGAGAACACAATGGTTTGCCAACCCTAACTACCAAAGCCCGACTCATTCCGTGTGGGGACCAAGACCATGGTGTTTCAGTTTCTGTTTCCCTGACTCTGCAGGACACATGCGACATATAGGAAGTTTGCTCACGTGGCCATATAGGAGCAGTTGCGGGCTGACCCGTGCAGTTTCGCCTTTTCGTAATCCGACGAGCAACATGAACTTTCCCATCTTTATCATGAAAATACAATATTTATAGGAAGGTTGCTCAAGCTATTTAATCTTGAAAATGTGCGGCGATGAAGCCATGACATTGCAATATGCGCCAGCACAAATATGCTTGCATAGTTTTCATTGCAATTCAGTCCGATGTCCTTTCTCGGTGATTTTCATAAAGCGCCAGCAGAGCCCGTGCAGTCGGTTTGCCTGTACAGTTTGACAAAGGAGCGTCCCGTCGGT